ATAAAAAAAAAAGAATAACCACATGTACGCATGCGCCAATAAAAGGTCGTTTTCCTTGGATCTTCGCGCCAAGTGCCATTGTTACGGAATTCATAGTTACGCGTCTTTCGTTGTTGTCATATTAAAATACATTTAAAGATAATTACGACATCGGATTCTTATAATCTAAATCATTATAATATACTTCAATGTCAAAGTTGTATTTCACGATCTTTGCCCTCAGATTAACGTAATCCATTGATCAAACTTTCAAATTTGAAGTTACCTTCATATGGAAAATATTTATGATAGATCGAAACATGAATGGAATTTGAGGTATTTTTAATATAATATATCTTCCTTTGCTAATACTTATAAAGGCTTAAAATTTTTTGCATTTATAATGAATTTCATACCAAAGTTGTTTCTATTTTTTTTCATAATTACTTGCAACGATCATCGGTAGATGTCGTTAGAGCTACTGCACGCGTCGTCACATGCTCTATATATATATATGTATGTGTGTGTGTGTGTGTGTGTGTGTGTGTGTGCGCTTGTTGTGTGCGTGTGTGTATATATATTGGGTTGCGAAGTATGGATAATATTTAGAGTGCACACAAGTGAAACGTTTAAAAATATCTTTTACGAAAATTTTAATAACGATGAATTTTTTTTACAAATTCCTTTATTAACTATACCGTCATTGGATAGAAAGACAGGTTAAACATTGGAAGGATTCGTGGATCTATCATCTAATAAGGGATGTATAACATAAAATTTTATGGGTTAATAATATGACTTTGCTTCGATTATAAGATTAGCGTTTAGTAGGACAAATTTTATGATAATATCATTTAACAATCATGTAATCAGATAATAACTTTGATAGGTTCTAGTTGAATCACCTAATTATGAGGCTGATTGATACAAAGAATATTTGATGAAATCTTTGATAAAGAAATAATGAAGAGGATCGAAGGTATATAGGATTTTAAACGTTATCGTATTAAATGAAAAAGAGGATATATCGTTGGATTAAGTATATTATGTATGATAATCGAGAGGTCAAGAGAAAAAGTGTCGAGGGGATAAAAGAAGAGAAACGAAAGAGGGTCAGAACAGTATCATATCGGAAGACAATCGAAGAAAGGAAGTGTCATCTAGGAGGAGAATCGTTTTCGAGGAAAGTCGTGGTGTGGCGCCCAAATCGTTTGCAAAAGAGGGTTGTGTTTTTCGGCTGGTCGGTACGTCGTCGTTGGCGTAGAGGTGGTCGTAGAAGAGTTAAGAAGGGCGAAGGGAAGGGGCGGGTGTAGTCAGGCCGTGGTTGTTACGGCGCGAGTGGTACGGTATCAGTGCGAGGCCGGCTATCAGCCGCCTAACGTCAAAGTCAATGGTACGTTTGAACGCGTATAACGGTACCCACTGTTGCAGAGTGGGTAATCGCTCAGTGGCTCGTACCGATCGTACCGGAGCTACGTATATTCCCTTTCCGCGTTAATCAGTCCTACCGTTCAAAGGAAACGTTTTTGATCCCTCGCATCGTAGAACATTGGAAACGAAGATCCTTTTCCTACCAGAAAAGCGATCGGCTTTCTACACGCAGCAATGCGTCGTAATCAATAAGGACGATCGGCGCGCATGCATGGCATCGTCTTAGAGCGAAGGAACATATCACGCTCTCTCACATTCGTTTTACGATCGGTGCATATAAACGAGCTTTGGCCGATGGTAGGAAGGGAGAAACGGTGGATAGGTAGAAAGGTAGATGAATGAATAAGCGGTCGAATTAAAGAACGGAAACAGGTAGATGGATGGATGGATGGATGGTTGGATGGATGGATGAGAGGGTGCGAAAGTAGCTTCTTTGGCGAAACGAGTACTAGTGAGAGGGCCAAGTGAGTGAAATGCGCAGAGCGAGGTGGGATGAGAGAGAGAGAGAGAGAGAGAGAGAGATAGCGAGAGAGAGAGAGAGAGAGAGAGAGAGAGAGAAAGAGAGAGAGAGAACGAGAGGAGATAGGGGATAGGAGATAAATAAATAAAAAGAGGCGAGGTAGAACGAACGAATATAATCGTGACTGGAACGTGTATCGAAGACATCAATTCGAAAATATTGACGATCGGTAACTTAAACCATAATTTTCCGTGATTCGATTCGTTGTGTCGCGTTATTGCAGTGCCGTGATAATACGTAAACGAATGATTTTCTCCCGTCGACATTGTTACCTTTAAAAAAGCACAACGTTCCATCGTTTTGTTCAAGGAGGTAAGAGTGGAATATTGAGATTTAGGGTGTGCTCGATAATCAGAATCAATCGAATCGTAATTCTGTATCTTCGTTAGGGCGTAATTTGATGGTAAGAAAGAAAGGAAAGGAACGAGAGAACGTGAAAAATATTAAATTTATTAATTGTCATTTTTAATATATTTATATAATAAAATCAGGAAATGTAATTGCAGCAAAAGAAGAATGATCCGATTAAAGCAAATCAGACTTGACCGATATATCTAAGAAGGAATACGTCGTTTGAGTTGGAAGGGAAAAGAGGAAACTAAAAAGGAGAAGAGATAAAAGTTGGAAAAAAAGGAAACCGGACAGGATACGTGCGAAAGAATTGAAAGGAGAGAAAGAGAAAGAAATAAAGAGGAAGTATAATTTTGAGTTCCGGTAGGCGCTCGAGCGACATCTTCTCTTATCTTGTGGAGTTTTCTAAGGAGAAAGAGAGGGTGGGAAAGAAAGAGAGAGAGAGAGAGAGAGAGAGAGAGAGAGAGAAACAGAGAAAGAGAGTATGAGCGAGGGAGAAGGGGCATGGAAGGATATGTTGGTTGATGATTCTCGATCGATACGCGCCACCCAACGTCTCAAAGATCTGTATCCGCCTTTTAAAGACTCAAAATCGTTCGTTTTGTAATCGTCGTTTCCTCGACGGAAGAGCGCATCGAAAATGGAGCAGGACGAATGTACAATCATGGAACGAAGAAGCGCATTCGAGACGAAGGAATGAAATTAATCGCATAGGACTTACAATTAGATACTATCGTCATATAATAGTGCAAAGTAGCAATAAAGGAAGAAAAAGAAGGGAAAGAGGATAAAAAAGAAAAAAGATAAGGGGGCAAAAGAAAATGGCATCGCTCGTCTCTCGTTTCTTTCGTAGAAGATACAGCCGTGCAATTACGCAGGATCCAATGATTTCGGCGAATGCGATAAAGCGCGGGAAGAATCGCGAGGATTCAAATAGATCGAGAGTTCTTTGATTTTCGCGAGATATCGCGTGCTGATTCGCCGAGTCGACGGAGGGTTGTGCTGGAGGTGGTTGTGGTGGTGGAGGTGGAGACGGAGGAGACGGTGGTGGTGGTGGCGGCGTGGGCGAGGGCGAGGGCGGTGGTGGCGGTGGTGACGGTGCTGGTGGTGGTGGTGGTGGAGGTGGTGGTGGCGGCAGCGACGGCGGTGGTGGTAGTGGTAGTAAAGAAGGTGGTGGTGGTGGTGGTGGTGGTGGTGGTGGTGGTAGTAGTGGTTGTGCCGGTGATGGTAGCAGTCATTCGGTCGAACAAAGAGCACGAGAGCCTCGTGGCGCGAGCCAAGCCGAGCTGAGCCGAGTGAAGCCGGTGAAAGATCGGAAAGGCGGCGAGTATCGATATCGATGAGCAGACGCAATCCGTCCCGTAGGGAGCAACGGTGTGCGAACGACATTTTTTTCTCGATCATCCGGATTTCATTATTACGGATAGAGCCTGAAGAAATTCATGCGCGTCAGGAACGACGACGAGAGCGATAGGAAGCGGTTAGAGAACTATCGCCGTCCTCGCGACGACGCGCGAAGAAAAAGTACTCGCGCGAAAGGGAGGGAGGGCTCGGACGACAGGATCCGTATCAATTTGCGACTGTGATTTTATAATCTTAAGGCTAAGCGTAGGAAAATCGTTCATTGTGATACTAAGCTATTACTATTAGAGAAGGTGGAAAAGGAGAAGGAGAAGGGGAAGGAAGAGGAAGACACGTGGGCTCGAAGGGAAATGGAACAAGGTAGCGCGATGGTTATTTCGAAGGAAGAATCTCGCAAGACCGCGCAGAAATTCGTGGAAGAAGTCGATTTGACGCGACACGCAAAGAAAATTCTTACGGTTCGTGATACGATCAAGAACGAGAATATAGAAATCGCATTCCCTTGAACGAGCACGAGGCTGATCGTACTTGGGCTAATCGTTCTTTTATTTTAATCCATCGATGGCCCCAATACGCATACGCGCAGGTACGTTTACAAGCCTTTTAGATTGAAAATTGGGGATAATCTTTCTGTTCGTCTGACTTTTCTTGAAAATTCTTACGCACCGCAGGCGACTAGCAGATCGTTGTCGTCGAGCCGAAGACGAAATTTCGATCGTCGTTTCTAGCAAAAGGAAATGCGATAAGCGAGGAAGGACGGATAATTGATAGAGATAGATAGATAGATAGATAGACAGATAGATAGATAAATAGATAAATAGAGAGGGAGTAAGGGAGAATAAAGAAGAGCCAAGGAGGCTGGATAATTCGTCGTGTAGAACGGAAGATAAGAGAGTCTCGGAGCGTTCGGGAGAGTCTGGTGGCAAACTAGAGACAAAGGAGATAGGAAAGAAAGAGGAAGCTTTTGAACGGGTAAACCGTGGTACTTGTACCACCCCCTGGACACGGGGGGTGGGACAGAAATACCGTCAGCGTGGGTGTCGGTGGTGCAGGGGCGCGCCTGGCCCGTCGGCTCGCCCGCAGATTAGCACGGCGATTGTCGGGTACGTCGGGCCCATTCCGGCGTACCACCGTCAGGAGCAGCACCACCAGCAGCACCACTACCAGCAGCACCGTTCTGGCGACCTCGGGGGGCTTCGCGTCGGCGGCGGCGGTGGCCGTGGCACCGACGGGAGACCAACTCGCAGCCTCTCCCGGCTCGGCTGCCTCGCGCCGCGTCACGCCGAACGGTAACGCTGGCGTTGACGTCGCCGCCGCTCCTAGGCTCGATCCTGGAACCGATCCTGGAACCGATCCTGGAACCGATCCTGGAACCGATCCTGGTACCGACGCTGGACCCGACGCCAGAATCGACGCCGGATCCGACGCCGGAACCGACGTTGGAAGCGGGACCATCTTTCAAGCTTCCTTCGGAGGAACGGCTCGCAATAAGAACAGAGCCATGTCCCTCAGAAGCCTTCAAAGGCGTGTCTCTCATCCGTAAGTAAACCGATTTTATCCGAGCTAATTTATTTACCTACCACCTCTCTTTAGATTCCTTTAATCGACATCTATTCTATTCTTTCTTCGGTTCTATGATTTTCCCGACCGACTACAATACCATATCTCTATTAAATAGATGCGTTCGTCGTTGCGCATGATGAGAAGCACGTGACGTTTACGTAGTTACGTTTAGTATTCTTTTACGTTCATCTCAGCGTAGCTACATAGCGCGAACGAACGGTCATTAGGAAAGAGCCATTAATGTTTTATCTAATAGAACGGATCTCTTCGACGTTAAATTGCTTTTACTATAATGCCGAGCTAATAAATCGTAAGGATTATTAGGAAGCGCGCTATATGAAATTCGTGCGTGTTCTTTGATAATAGTTGGCAGTGCAGCGAGGTGCCTGGGGACGACTCGAGAGATTAAATTCGAACGAAACGAAGACACGACAGCTGCATAGGATATATTTCTTTCGAATTAATAAATATCGAAGGAATCATTTTTGAAAAAGCTTAGTTTCGCTTCCCTCCCGGCTCAGTCCTGTGAAGGATTATAAGAATATAGTTCGTGTATTCTTTTTTTAACCTTTGAAAAGGGTTCTCTTAGAAGGGTTTTAGGTATTAAACGATAATAATTACTACGATGTTATAATTAATACGATTCAACGACGATTAAGAGAGCGCTTATGGAAGCCAGAGAAGAATTCTTCAAATCGGCCGATGATTCGACACCGGCCTAGTCATTGACACGCTTGACTTCTTCGGCTTTATACAAACACGTATTTTTATTCTTTGTTCTCTTTGAAATTGTCGTCATTTCCTTCATAGAACTACCTTTTATCGTCGCTCCAATAAAATCGTACCCTCAGGGTTAGCCCACATTTTGCAGCCATTGAGCTGTCATTGCTGCTGCTTTGTTGAATGAACGACCTGCTTTGTTCAAGTAGATCGAACGTTTCGGAGTAAAATGAGGCGCAAACTTTTCTACTTCGTTGTATATCAATTGTGAAGATCGCCAAGATCGAAAGTTTATCGATTTTATCGATTGAAAACGTTTCCTCATTAGCCTTCTTCAAAAAATGATACTTGTTGTTGGGAAAACTAGCCTAAGATTGACAGTAGTTCATTAAGTAGGAGAGTTTATAACGAAACTGCATTCGTCCTAACGATGGCTGCATTCGAGGGACGCAGCGCGCAGCTTAATACATTCTTAACGATGGTCACGTTTCATTTGTATTTCGTATTCAAAACATACTTAGTTTAAGAATTTTTCTTTCTTAATTTACTTCGTTAATACTCTCGTCGCACGAGTTGTTCGTACTTGGCCATAATAGCGGTGATTTAACGTGATAAGGGTCAACGCAAATAGGCTGATATCGCATTATGCGATGCTAATATGCGTTTCGTTCTTTCTCGCATATTATAATAAAGTTTTGCGTCCTGCTTTCGTATTTTCGAAAAGTTTCGAAATATTTTTCAAATTAGCATCGTCATTTTTCATAGCGTTGGAAGACACGCTCGATAAGCTGAGCCATCAAGCGCTACTTGTGTATCGTTAATATCTAAGACAACATGGATAGAAACGTTAGAGATGAATGGTAGGCATTACGGAGAGTCGATCAGGGAGCAATCAATAACTGACCCATATTGTACTTCTCGTTCTCTCTCTCTCTCTCTCTCTCTCTCGCTCTCTCTCCCCCTCTCTCTCTCTTGCTCTTTTCTATCTTTATTCTTCGTCCCTTTTTATTTTACTTATTATTTTTATTTACTTATATCTTGTTTATTATTTTTCGCTTCTTACAATCTCCCCCATCTCTCTCTATCCTATTCCCAAAGTTTTCAACTTTTCTACTGTGTTAATTCATCTCAATCATTTTTACGCATGTGGACGTAACAAACTGCAACGTATAACCTTCTCTTTCAGATATAATTGCATTAATCGTCCTTTCCTATTGGAAAACTAATCGACACTTGTAATGACATCGCATTCGTTCTTTCATAAAGCATGTTCTGACGATAATAATATTGTTTCATTTTTTTTTATTCCTAAATATGCCACTTTATTCGAGATAACTAATTTTATGCGGTTATTAATCAAATGTTATCCAGTCGTATGTTCTACTGATCATATTAATGAACGACTTTGAGAGAGAAATGAAATAATATAAATAAAAAGGTAAATACGAGATCTTAATGAATCTCAAGTAGAAAAAAGAGAGAGTGAGTGAGAGAGAGAGAGAGAGAGAGAGAGAACGTGATATGCGCTTGGTGTTTACGATATGCGTTATTAAAGTACTCGTTAATGTGTTTCGAGTGTATTAACAACATTTTCATATGTCATTCCCTGCAAGTGCCATCATATCGTTTGGCACAAGTTCAACGTCGAATTATATTTGAGTTGTACACTTATTTTCCATGATAACGCGCGCGCATGTTATAAATATTTAAATATATAAATATTTAACGCACATAGTTACATATGTAGAGACAGTCGTGTATAGTTGCTCGAAGAAGAATAGTTTATTATAGCGTAAAAATTTCTAGGAAGAGATTGATTAAATTTCAACGTTGGCTGAATGGTCCTTTTTCGAGTCGATTAAAATCGGCGACCTAGATTTTTTTGGCCGTAGCTTGTTCGTGTCTCGTAAATAGGCGGTTGAAGGCGTTTTTCGAGTGGGCATAAAAATGGTGGGAGTCATCCTAGGGGGGTGTACGAGTGGTACGGATAGCGGGGAGGTGCCTGTGGGTGAAGGGGTAACAGAAGAAGTGCTAGAGAATGGCAGCGGTTCATATCTCAGCAATCTCTGTCGAGGTTCGCATCTCGCAGCCCTCGAGGACTCTAGAATCTCTAATATTACGTTTTAACCCACATGGTAAAATCCACGTACCTATGACTTACGTCAATCAGTATTTGCGTTTACGCGATTCGAGCCGAATTACGTTGGTAACTATAAATCTAAGAAAAATGATTATATGAAATAAACAATCGGGTCCTTTGCGTTCATCGACGATGCTACTTTTTAACATTGTGTTATTAATAGGATATAGCATTGCGAGTATTCTATTAAAAAAGTCACTGATTGTTGTATTATTGTGTTGGTAGGAATTGGCCTATTGTCGGGACTTCCGGGTGATCACCATCGCAGACTATGAGCAATAGGGTACATTAACTCTTATTCTTATTTTTTCACCTTCATTCGTTCTTTGTGCTCGAAATTTCTTTTCCTTCTTCTTCTTCTTCTTCTTCTACTCTTCTACTACTACTACTACTCTTTCTTCTATTACTACCACTAACTACTACTACTGCTACTGCTACTGTTACTACTACTACTACTACTATCACCACCACTATTACTATTATATTATCATTACTATTTACTATTACTTATTCTTATTCTTATTCTTATTCTGCTCCCTCTTATCTTATTTATACATATTCTTTCATCAAGGCATTACCTGTGCGTATTAATTAAAAAAAGCATCCATTCTTCATTTATTATTCCCCCCCTTTATCCATATTTCTTTATAAGTAATTATCCAGAAAATCGCCCTCGTAACACGACTTTTGCCTTGCATGTTTCATTACGTTTGTCTTTCACCTTGTGTCTTTTCTCCATTCTTCACCATTTCTTCTATATATCTTTCATCGCACCAAATAGTGCATCGAACTATTAGAATTAAATATTGTAGGATGCGCACTCTATTCATTACGATCGTTTTCTCATATTGCATGTCTCGACAATTGACTTTCATTATTGCTACAAAATTACGTACATTATATCTTTTTATTTGTCTAATCACGTTTTCGCTAAGGCATTAAAAACAAAAAAAAAAAAAAAGAAAAAAAAAGAAAACAAAAAGAAAAAAAAAGAAAAATAAAAATAAAAGTTATTAAGGTAAGTTTCACATGGCATAAATTTGTTGACGTAGTCGTTTTGCTTTTTACTCCTCCTCTTTCGTACTTAATTTCTAAATCTTTCTTTTCTTTATCTTTTTGTTGGCGTGATAAGGAGGTATTTTGAGGTGAACATTTAAATCAGTGCAATGACGAATTAACAAGGGAAAGAGAAAGCGAAAAAGAATTTTGTACTAATAGGTGAAATTTCAAAGATCTAAGATATGATCGGTAAAGACGAAATTATTTCTTTGTAAATAGTAAGCGTATCTTGCTATCGTGAAAAATAATGGCTTATCGTCGTGTAACGATAGCGATATCATTATATCGTTATACATCGCGTGCGTTAAAAAAAAAGGAAAAAAAAAAGAAAAAGAGAGAAAAGGAAAAAAGAAAAAAGATGAAAAAGGATGAGAGCAAGAGTGTGGGGCGGTGAGAAGAAGTCGAGCATCAACCGAGACAATAGATTCGTTCGTTTTGTAGTTTCAGTGCACTCCAGAGTACTCGTCGAGCCTTCGTTTACGCGGAAACGTACATATATGCACGGTAAGACTCGCTAAGTGTTCCTTTTCATACAGAGGGAGAGAAAGTGAGAGAAGATACCTCGGCCCGAGGCGGCATATTCCGTCTGGCGCGTACTACTCCATTCTCGAGGATGAACGTAAGGACAGCTCTTTTTGCTGTCTATCGTTCGCTAATGACGATTAACCCTCTTTGTAATATGTCAATACTACTTACAAAGATATCTGCGGTAACTCGTAAAAGTTTTATAAATAGTGCTATATAGAAGAAAAAAGGAAAAAGAAGGAGAGAAAAAAGGACGGAATCGCGATAGAACAAATAAGAAAAGAAATTAGAGTCAGTCGAGGGAGTAGGATCATTCGTAACATGTCGTTAATTGGATTCTTTTATCTTTCGTTTCTTCTTAGATCTACTTTTCCTCTTTCTAGGTCATACGTCATTATTCTTCTTTTCAAATCATTTTCATTCTCATAGAACGATGTCAATGATATATATATATATATATATATACGCACGCACATATATAAATCATTAGATATAAATCATAGAAAAAATTGTTTCTCTATGCAACGACGTCATCGTAAGAACGTTAAATCGTTTCCCTGTACGCTCGTTCGACCATGCAGACGGCCTCACGGGTTTCTCTTTTTCAGTTGCGTGTAAAAGCTCTCGACGTTCGAGTTGCCCTTATATATGAATATCTATATACTGGGTGATTCGACGAAACGTAGTCGAGTTTAACCAGTTCGAAATTCACATTTTCATTTGCAAGCTCGGATTTATATATTTTTTATAAATATAATTAATTTTAATTTTTTTGTTTTCTTTTTTTTGTAATTAATTGATTTGAAGACCTGTGCGTTTAGAAGAGATAAATAATTTTTTTTTTTTTCAATACGATTAATGCCGCACTTATTAATCGTGTAAAGAAAATTCACAAATTGCCATTGATATAAAGTATTTCAAAGGGAGGAAAGTAGTCGAGATCAATGAATGAAGAAAGAGAGAGAAAAGAAATAATTTTTTTGCAAAGTGTTTCCTAATTTTCTATCGCGCCTTTTTAACTCTTTCACGGAGATCTCACTGGAAGCGTTCGAAAATATTTCAAAGGCGGCGATACTAGCCGTCGTAGAAAAATACAATGGAAGTCTGGCACGCTACAATGAGCGACAAGCAGTGCTCTTTCCTGGAAAGAGGGAAAAAAAGCGAGGAACAGCGAGAGCTTTCTCTTCCTTTAATCTTCACCTTGTCTGTCAAAGTCCAACGAGCGTATGCAGCAGAAGATATCTTTGTACTTAAAATCTTATATATATATATATATATATATATATATCTTATATATACATATACATACAAAACTTTCTTTCGGCTGACTCTTCTGTTTTTTTTCCTTCTTTCTAACAAAAAATTAAAAATCGAGTATTAGACGCTTTAAGTCTAACTGATAGAGCTTTAAGCGGACTGGCATATCGGTCAGTGATCACGGTCGGACAAACATCGCCATTAGGACGGCAACTCAATGACGTAAGCGAACTAAAGAACGAAGGTCGTAAGCTTTTAGCTTACCTATAGATATAAAATGTGCGAGTAGACTCGTGTGTAACAGGTACATAACAATAAATAAAAAAATTCGATTAATTTATAAAAAGAATTAAACGAACAAACTTGTAGATAATATATTCCATAGATATAGGTACATATACACACACACACGCACACACATACATATAACAATATATTCTATTTGGGATTGGAAGATCGAGTAGACGAAAGGAAATATCTTTTTATAGGACTGGCGATCTAGAATATAGAACGATGGTAGAGAAAAGGTAGCTCGATTCTCGTGTCTTTAATAGACTCGAAAAAGGAAAAGAAAAGAATAGAGGAAAGGAAAGCTCTTCCTTCCGTACTGTAAGGAAAGAGATGGGTAGATAGAGAGGAGAAAGAAAGCCTTTATCATCTTAGCGATTAGCTTTTGCTGTTTGATCGATGTCTGGTACAAGGTAACGGCAAATCGCAAATGAATCGGCGATACGTGTTCTTACGTAGATAGGGTGGAAAGAAAGAGAGCGAGAGAGAGGAGAGATAGAGATAGATAAAGAGAGAATAACCGTCGTCATTGTTGTCGTCGTCGTTCGATAGGACTGTCTTTTCCTCGGCTTTCGGCTACTCGATAAGGATCTAGGATTCGAGGCCAAGCAAGTCACTACGTCCTCGAGGCCGTCTTTGGCCATCGGCAAATTTCGAAAGGGCGCTCGACCTCGCGGAACGGGCTGAGAGCCGTCGATTTGGGTAACACGGAGGAGAAAGAGGAAAGGAGGGGGGAGGGAGAGGGAGTATAGATAGATCGTGTGTGTTGCAAAGGGAAAGTAGTCCCATGAATACGTAGGTACGTCCCGCGGCGACGCGTATATCAAGAAGAAGCTGAATTTAAGAGCGAGCGAGAAAGATTATATATCTATATGTGTGTGTGTGTATGTATATGTATATATATGTATATATATATATATATATATACACACACACGTATATATCTAAAGAGAAAGAAAGAGAGAGAAAGAGGACACCTTGGACACAAAAGACCGCTTAATATCTAGGTGATTCGTATTGTAAGCGGGTTTTTAATATGGCTGTTGGCGACGAGGACGACGAAGACGATGACGACGACAACGACGACGATGACGACGATGACGACAATGACGACGACGGAGGAGGAGGAACCACAAGGCAATGAGGATCATCGTATTGGTATACCGATCGTGCTCCATATGTTGAGGAAGGTCAAGCACCCTTCGCGCCAGACAATGAAGCACTTCGAATCTCGCACGTATCTCGATCGAACGAATATCTGTGATTCACGGCTTTACGCGGGGCTGCCTATGCAAATCCCTATACAATGTGCATGCACCTATGTTTATATGTATATTATCTGTCTATGTTGTTGCGGTAGTGTATATTGGCAGTAAGGCGCGCGTGCGTGCGTGTGCGTTTGATCGTTGAGAGAGACACCTAGACGTTACGTTCTGTAGGTCAGAGGAACGTTCATATCGACCAGGTTTGCTTCGGTCATGTACCAGCGTCGTTGATTGTGATCGCGCGGAGACTCTGCGCGTCTGGTCGCGCGGCGCTTGCCCAATCCCACCCTTATACTTCCTCTCTCTCTCTCTCTCTCTCTCTCTTTCTCTCTGTTCATCCGTCTATCCCTTTCTAATCCATCCTACACGCTACGATGCATTTTTATCTTACCTGCTGCTTTCGATCCAATCATCGAGATGTAACGATCAAAGGAATCCCTCGCACTATTCGATCGATTCGAATTCGTCGAAAATTTAATGGCATATCTCATAAGGGATGCGTATACGTTTCCCACGATTGACGAACTCTATCCCTTTTACGAGCAAATCTTTCTTATTTTTCTCCAATCGTATTTTCAAAAATATCCCGTTCGAGATCGTGACGCGTTCGAGGCAACAAGGTCGGTGTTGGACTATTGATTTTGGGGAGGCGGAGGAGGCTCGAATCGAGTTTTCAAGGATATTATGATTGATAGAAGGCACGGGAATCAACGAGAGGGCCACACCGGAAACTAGACGAAATTTTTTCGTAAGATTTTTCGAAGGATAAACTCGCGATACACCTCACTTTTTCCTATCCGTATTTTGCTCAGAGTTAGAAAATATACAAGAAGTTCAATTTTTTTTTCTCGTCTTTTTTTCAATATCATTCTTCTATAATATTTATCAATGATCATTTCAAATGTTATATTTCTTGATTGTAATTCGTTATACACGAAAATAGGGCCTTCCATCGAGACGAGCCAGGATTCGTCAATTGGCGCAGTAATATCATTTTCCATGTTTAGTTACCCTTATAATAGCGCTACCATTCTACTTACTTGCTAGATCGTTGAAACTTTTCTGCGAATCATTCGTTACTCATGGAAGGGTACGATCCTAGTCGTAGAAAATGGTGAAACGTTTGCGTATAATGTGTTAATACCAAGATTTATGTGATAAAATCTGACCGTTTATAGAACAGGTAGTCAGCGTTTATCCCTCTTAAGGGCCTATAATTTTTGCAGGTTATAATCGCGCGTTAACACGAATTTAACGATTAATTTGAATAGGCTTCGATGATGTATCGTTTTTTGCGATTAACGTTTCAAGATGATTAACGTTGAATAGTAATTTCTTACGATCGAATGTTAGACTACGCAACGATCGTATTACGGAAGTAAGTAATTTGATCGTGCTTTGTTGATCGGTGTGAATGATAAGAGAAGATGATGAATAAATACATTATTAATTGATTACTTTTTCGTGTAGTTGCCATGGAATTGAAAGTCGTCATGCTGCGAAACACGAAAAACGTCCGTCGCAGAAGCTGGAAACATCATGGCCGTTTTCATTGTAAGTTGGTCAATTTTTTTTTCACTTTTTCGTTGTCTATAAAAGCAACGCTGTCTTTCGTGCTTTCTCAAAAGTCAAAGCAAGAGCAAAGAAGAAAGATTCGTAATTTAAGAAGGATATGCTCGAACGATCAATCAAGCACGCAGATTATTGCGCTTTCCCGGGGCTCCTATCTCGAAGAAGTAAAATTTGACAAAACTCTTGTTCATCGTATCGAGCATGCTGCTGCTTCTGTTGCTTTAATAGATCGCATATAATTATATTTTGATTGATCGAAGATTAATCGTTTATCGGCGCCGTTCGTCCGATCAATATTTTCTTAAGATTCGTTCGTTAGAACTCTAGATGGCACGCCTTCGTTCGGCTTCGCTATTGCGATCTAAAAAGTTGCTCTCTTTGCCGTTTGATCGCGCCACTTGCACGTTTGCATTTTCAGGAAGATGATGCGTAATTATATCATCATCGAATTAAATCCTCTCGTCGATCCTTTTTATTACGCAAAAAGAAACTTATCTCGTTATCTTTCCTTGTCGGTTTTCATCCGAAAATTTTACGTCTAAATAGATATCTATGGTATACTATGGTATATGGATAGATTGTTTCTTTGGGTATTCAAGGAAAGTTTCGTTTGAAAAATCGTGAATTTGATCGGTTCAATTTGTTCTTACGACATGGATCATATTTCATTTCGAAATCTCCGTAAGGTATCGTAGGAATTATCGCGCATTTATGATACCAATAGCTAAATTTTCCATTCGATCGAGTATTCCTCTCATATAGATTTTACCCTTCCAAGGAAATAAGATGCCGATCCAAAATCAGTTTGCAATGACGAACATCCCAAAGTCCTCGGCTTATCGCGGTCGTGTCTGACCTTAACACTGATTGGTCGATACCTGAAAATAGCCGACCCAGTCTATCCGATAACGTGTTTTATTTATAAATCCGATTCGCGAAGGTACATGCGCAAACGAGGCCTGCATCCTTCTCTACGATTTTTCTTTTTCTTTTTCTTTTTCTTTTTCTTTTTTTTTTTTTTTTTTTTTTTTTTGTTCAATGAAACCGACACATTTTCCCCGACGCGATCGAATTATAAAAACAATGGAGGAGGATAAATCTGTTCTCTTTGAATTTAATCGACATAATAAAAAGGGAAAAAAGTTAATGGAGAAGTTGAACGAAAAGTGGCGGTGCGCGGGGCTAGGAGGGAGGGGGCTGGAGAACAGCGTGTTCGATAAAAAGCCGAAAAAGGGAAGAGAGAAAAGAGTCGTCCGGTCAATCCGCCTACCGTCCTTTCAGCAGAGAAGAAAAAAAAAGAAAAAAGAAGAAAAAGAAAAAGAAAAAAAAAAAGAAAGGAAAGGAACGGCAGGACAACGCCGAGAGCGCCACGAAACGGCGATGCCTAGAAGTTTGGAGGAGCGTCGAGAATAGGAGGCGTCTAGCAACCACCACTGGCCGAGTCGGAGATATCGCGCAAAGCCGTAAAGCGTCGTCGCTTGCGGTCCCTTCAAATAAAAGGCTTTCCTCGCGGTCAGCGAGAAAAAAGAGAAATGTCGGGATCATAACAGCCGTGGGAGACTTTTCTTTTCTTCTTGGTGCTTGTCGCGTTCGCGATAACGTTTGTGCTTTCCCCGAGTTTACTTGTGATCGAATCCTCTCGACGATACTATTCCATCGAATTCCTTCTAGTCTCTTTTCCCTCTCTCTCTCTCTCTCTCTCTCTCTCTCGAAAAGTCCAAAAGTCCTCTTCTCTCTCTCTTTCTGTCTCTATTTATCTATCTATCTATTTATTTGTATGGTTCTTTCTCTCTCTCGTCCCACCAACTCTCGTGTGTCATTCAAGATGTCAATGACGAGCCGTTCAAAACAACGGAGAAAGTACGAAGGAGCATGCGAGAAGATGGCCAAAAGAGTCTAATGAGCGATAAGTCAAACACGGCCGAATGCCAAGCTTGCGCAGTCGCTGTGATCGTCTAAACCTCGATGATGCAGGAAAGTCCTCAATATGGACGAATTATTCTTTCTTTCCTTGGAATTTGAACAACTCCTCCAATGTTCGAGAATGTAAAGTGGAGGGATAAGGTATCTTTACCGTAACAAAGGTTATCTTTGGTTATGCTTTAGATATCGATCGACGTTGGAAGAAATGAGACGAGCTCTATCCTGAAGCATGCTTGTTTGTCAGAGCTTACGAGCTTTTCGACGGTCGATACGGAACGTAGTACAATGCAAGGTCAAAAATCGTGGAGAAAGCGAGCTGGCGATGTTCCCAGAGAAGGAAAATAAGAGGACCGACGTAAATGCAATGGAGGAAGGGTCTTAAGGAAATAGACAAAAAGCAAGATGGTAGTGGTGGTGGTGGTGGTGGTGGTCGAGAAATTTGGCGTTGGGAAAAGGCGTGGCGGCCTATCATCTAGGTCACGTTCCTGAGCCCTGATATATCGCGCATTCCTCCTACGATTCTCCTATTGCCGATCGATTTTCTATACCGCGATCGTAATCTCGTCGACGAAAAGGAAGAGAGAAAGAGAGGAGGCAGGAGGAGGGGTAGAAAGGGTTGAGAAGAAGGATGGAGAGGGGGAGAGTGGTTCCTTTCGATCCGTCGACGCATCGATAGTCTCTTCTACTTTCTCCGAAGGAAACCGTAACGTGGGGGCGCTTAAACTATTTCTTCGAAAGGATCGATCTCTCTCTCTCTCTCTTGCTATATATATACATATATATATATATATATATATATATATATATATATACACATATATATATTTCGGAGGATGACCTTCGAGTCACATGCGCCATCGAATAAAAAATCTCAAAGTACCTCTGCTCTTCCTTCGGTCATGTCTACTTTCAACGATTTCAACTCTTTTACGAAAAAGAGAAACGAAAGCTATGCGAGTGAGTGAATTCCCGCGAAAGACGAAGAGGAAACGATGGGGCCCTCGTTTATCGACGATAAGGGATATCTATCGATATGGCGCATCGTTAAAACTTGCATCGACTAAAATCTCTCTCGCGCTCCGATCCACTCGAACTCATCGTTAATATAAATTATTGGATATATCGAAACGAAAGCTTCCCTAATGAATATACTTTCGTACAAAATCTCTTTCTTATTACTCGTTAACTTTTTTATATTCTATATTTTCTATTGAGAAGGAAGAAATATGAAGGATCCACGATACCAACAATGTGCGATTATTATAGTATTATTTATTTTATTTATTTTTATTTTGGTTTCTTAATACCTCTAGTAGAAATCTAAGGGGAGAAAAGAGAGAGAGAGAGAGAGAGAGAGAGAGAGACTCGAAAGATTACAACTGTACGTGTATATATATGTGTATGTGTGTGTTTGTATCTCCGTGTTAAAGAGAAAGATAAAACGGAGGTATTATTATAGAATGAAGCATTATTATTAGAAGAGCAATACCGATCGAATTTTTCTATTTTTAAGATCGATCGATCGTTCGAGAAATCGAAAGAGAACTATTCGCAGAGTAAAGAAAAAGTGTTTTAGTCTATACATACTATTGAGATTAATAGGAACGATTTGTTGATTCTCTCAAAGTCGAACGCTGCCATTGACAAAGAAATTCATTTTCAACGCGCATGTCCAATGCCTTGACTACCAAGACGCTCTTCGCCGTTGCAAAGCATTACAGGAAAGAGAAAGAGAGAGAGAGAGAGAGAGAGAGAGATAGAGAGAGGGAAAGGGAAAGAGAAGCACATATGTTAAACTTTTTGCCAGGATATTCGCAATAAAGTTGTCGCGATAGAAGGAGAGATACAGAGAGATAAACAGAGAGAAAAAAAAAATCTTTTCGTTTGCTACGAATCTTTGAACTTGATCGAAAAATTTGAAAGGAAAAGAAGGAAGGAGAGAAAATCAGAGAGAGAGAGAGAGAGAGAGACAGAAGTAGACAATGGACGAAGGAAAATTGGTAGACAGCGAGTACGCTTCACTTATACTCCATTATCAATTAAAATCGGCTGTGCTATCGTTTAACCAGAGCTTATCTTGCATTTACCTAGTGTTCATATTTAAACGCCATTCTCTGTCCACCTTCAAATCGGCAGAGATTGGAGAAGTTAAAGAAGAAGAAAAAAAAGTGGAAGACGAAAAAGAAATATAATTCGATATTTTTGCTACGTTCTTTCCCTAAAATCACATCCATCGAATATTATAAAGGATCGATCAGTTTTTCGATCGAAAGAGAAAGATAAAGAAATATCGATATATCAGTGAAATCCTAAAGACTGATGTTCCCATTTTTGGCTATTCTACTCTTCGTTCTTCGCTTATTTGCAACGAATTCCGCCCACATCCTCTTTGCGTGTACGTCGAAGCCACGAAGAAGACGACACTAGGAGGATCGAGTTACGTAAAGAAAGGGAAAGAGGAAGAGAGAGAGAGAGAGAGAGAGATAAACGATCGGTCGAGCGGAGCAGCGATCGATTTTCACGTCTTCGTCGAGAGAGAGAAAGAAAATAAACGCCTTACGTCCTTGCGGTTCGTCCATTTTCAAATCCAGTGTAATAGTAGCTCCCACTGAATATAAAATATCGTACATCGAACATCGTCAAGAACGATGATCCTTGAAAGCGAGGCAAGCATCTTGCGAATCGATTGATTCGACGAGAGAGAGAGAGAGAGAGAGAGAGAGAGAGAGAGAGAGGGCACAACGATAAGAGATCGAAAGAAGAGCAGGACCCCGGAGATCGATTATCATCGAATCATGACAAAATACGGCTTGGTCAGACTCGCCCTGTGGCGACCAAGGCGTTCCGTAACTTCGCAACCACCGAACAACCAGGAAAACAACCCTCTCATGTATGCAATAACTTCTTTATTATTTGTTTGCTCGTATTGAGTATCGAAAGTTGCTGTCGCTGCTGCTGCTGCTGTTGCTGCTACTGTCGCTGCTGCGAAAAAAAAATAAAGTAATACAGGAGAAAAAGCCGAAAGAACGACGTAGATAAAGCGATGAATAAAAATCGAA